TCTTTAAGTATACCTCTATAACCAGGCCATGCGATAATACCACTATAAGCATGGGTGAGAAGACTTTTTAAAATGATACTTTATGCCATATACAAAATAATGAATTACAGAGCTTTCCCCACTTATTTCTTTCCTTTGTTTTAAAAGTTATAAAAGATTGAATTGACATTATGAGGTTTTTCTTAAAGTAGTTGATAAGGCATTTATATTTCTTCATCAGTGATATATGGAGTTTGGGTTGGATAATCTCTAAGAGTCCTTCAAATCCTGGGAGTCTGTGACCAAAGAGACTTTCCATCAGGGGAAATACCCACCTGTGATGCTATCTCTTTTTTCACTTCTTGGCTTAAGAATATTCACAGACACCAAAGCCTGGTTTTACACTACACTTTTTTTTTTTTAATAAGGAAAATATTATTTCAGAAGGATAGCTTGACAAGGGACATGGCAGATTTCCAAACTTAACTCTGAAAGACAGATCATCTGGGCATGACTGAAAGCCATGCATTACCTTTGTGCTCAGATTTTTCATTTCAAAAATGTCACTTTCTGCTTATTCAATGCTACTGTCATTATACTATTTTAAGCATGAAATTTGTGTTCTGGAGCTGAACAGGGATTATTGCTTCTATCTTTGGACTTATTAGTAATGATTTAAAATTCATTTAAGAGCAATAAAAATCACCTTTTTATTGTGGTTGAATTTGGTTAAGTATTGAAATTTGCAGTGCAATTTTTATTGTCTTTTATTAGCAGTAGTTCACCATCTGTGTATGTAGATCAAGACTGTTTTTAAGCACCTTCTAAAGAAATAACTTTTGAAACATGAGTTTTTCCTTAATTTTTAATTCCCCAGGGTGATGTTAAACTAGAATAAATCATGGGGCAAAGTTTCTAAAAATTTCAGACTTTTTCTTATTTGAGTAAACAAAAAACAAACAAAGCAGATATGACAGTTGAAACAAAATTTCATATTTACTCAATACATGGAATAAGGTGAAACCAGATGATGTCGCAAATGCAGAGAAAAATCATTTCATTAGAGATGAAATTATTCCCTCCTCTGACTTTTCAGAGAGAGCCATGAGATTGCACGGAGGATGTGGAATGGGAACCAGACATTGCCTGGAAGAAAAGTCTCCCAATACTGAAGGAATGAATCTGTTTATTCATCCCGATTGGCTGTAATTTACTTATTGCTGTACTCACTAAATAATCCTCAGTTCTCTCATTTTAAATTTGGATTCATACAAAGGAAGAGGAGCAGGAAACCAAATGTGTTTGAATTATATGAATCTGACTGCATTAGGCTCTTTTTACCACACAGGGAAGGGGAGAGGGAAGAAGCTTGCCCAGATAATGAAGGATTTGCTGGGCAAGGTTGGCTGGAGAATTGCTTCTGATGGTGGGCAGCAGAACATTCAAAACCTAGTGGAGCAGGGAGTCTATATGCCAAAGCAAACAACTACAGAAAACAAAGAGCATCTAGAAAATGGGTCTAATTAAATAATATGGCACGTGGCTTGGCACGAATCAGAAGTTGGAGCATCAGATCAAGAAGAATCAGAATAACAGGCAGTGTGGGGGAAGGATGCTCCTGGGTGTACCTGGAATCAGCATCTCTGTATTCAGCTGTAATATGCTCTCTGTGATGTGGCTTCATGGGTGAGGAGGTACCAGGCAAGGGAAGGTGCGAGTTACATTTAAAAGACTGGGAAAGAGGTAA